CAGAACTGGCTTTGACAAGCACTGTGGCAATTGGACACTTAAAACAGCTATTCGAGGCGGGGAAAGAAGAACGAATTGGGGAGGAGGGTAGAGAAAACAGTGCAACAATGAATGAATGAGAACCCAAAATCTCTGTAAATGTTCATTAAAACTAATAAAATTTAATTTAAAAAAAAAAAAAGAAAATCAAACCACATAACAGCCAATGTCCTCAGCCAAAATGTGACCTCTTGACTTCCGTTTTCATGCTTTTATCACCAGTTTGCTCCATTTCTAGCATAATGATAGAAACTTCACCAACAGGATCATTTTAAGGGGAGGTAGAGCATGCTCAGGCATTTACAGGAAAGGTGAGTCAGGGAGGGAGGGAGTTGAGATAATGTTACAGAGGAAGGACATCTACGATGAGAAGCACGAGGTGATCATTCAAATGTTACTCACTGGGGCAGGGGGAGCAGGAATCAGTTAAGAAATCCAGTAAGTGAAGAAAAGAACTAGATTCCAGCCCATCAATAAACGAATGGGTAGAGAAGCTGTGGTATATTCACACAATGGAATACTATGCTGCATTGAAAAACAAGGAACTCATGCAATCTTATTCAATATGGGTGACTCTGGAGGACATTATGCTGAGTGAAATATCTCAGTCGCAAAAGGACAAATATTGCATGGTGCCACTGCTATAAAATGGGACTGATATCAGGGTGGGGATAAGACTGAGAAAAACTGGATAAATTGTGTATACTGCACTGAAACAGATGAGGTACTGAATAATTTAAAAGCGATGTATGATAGGGTATTATGGTTATCACAAGAGTCCACAATTAAGGTTGCAAAGTGGAATGTACTTGGGATGGTGGGAGGAGTGCGGGGTGATTGTGTACCAGGTAGGGAGTCTTTCTTTTACTTTTGAAAGAGAGGAGCGAATGGGGGGGCGGGTGGAGAGGGCTGGGCAGGGAGAGAAGTGCAGCAATGAATGAATGGAAATCAAAATTCTCTGTAAATGTTCATTAAAATTATTTAAAAAAAAAAGAACTAGATTTCAAACAATACCATATTATAAATCAAAAAAGGAAAAACATTCTCAAAGATTGGAACTGCCAGATAGTAGTTTTACCACCTGAATATCTAGCACAAAAATAGCCACAGAAAGCAACAATGATGTGGGCAAATTATTCCCAAATTGTAAAGCAGGGTAATGGGCAGCACACAGGGTCTAGAATATTATTCTCTATTTTATGTAGGCTTGAAAATTTCTGTAACATGCAAGTGTTTTAAGACAACAGTGCTAGCACCACAACAAGATAAAGGTAAATAACCCAATTAAAAAATGGGCGCAGAATATGAACAGACACTTCACCAAAGAAGACATTCAGATGGCAAACAAACACATGAATGAATGTTCACAATCCCTAGCTCTAAGAGAGATGCAAATCAAAACAACTGATATCATCTCACCCCAGTAGTAGCAGCAAAATTTAGCAGAACAGCAAACATCAAATCTGACAAGAAATTGGAGAAACTGGAACCCTTATTCACTGCTGGTGGGACTGTAAAATGGTGCAACCACTATGGAAGGCAGTATGATGCTTTCTCAAAAAGCTGCAAATATAGATACCATTTGACCCAGCAATTCCACTACTGGGAATTTACCCTAAAGAAGCCATAACTGCCACCCAAGAAGATATATGCACACCCATGTTTACTGTGGCTTTGTTCTCAATAGCAAAGAGCTGAAAACAACCCAAGTGCCCATCAACAAACAAATGGATTGAGAAGCTCTGGTATATTCACACAATGGAATACTCTGAAGCATTGGAAAAATAAGGAACTCATGAAATATTATGCAAAAATGGATGACCCTGGAGGACATTATGCTGAGTGAAATATCTCTTGTCACAAAAGGACAAATATTGCATAGGGTCACTTTTGTAAAACGAGACTGACATCAGGGTTGAGGGAAGACAGAAAAGGAGGGGAGGAATGATGCATTGAAACAGATGAGGGAGGTAACTGTTTAAAAGGGATGGATATATGAATGGGTATTCTTGTCATTACAGAAGTCCAGAGAAGTCCAGAGTGAAGGCTGCATAGTGGAGTGGACTTGTGGGGGATAGACTGCATAACAATGAAAGAGTTTTTCTTTTTTTTCAAGGAGAAGAGTCAACTGGGGGTGGGTGGGTAGGAAGAAAAGTACAACAATGAATGACTGGAAACCCTAAGTCTCTGTAAACTTTCATTAAAATTAATTTTTAAAAAATTTTAAAAAAAAGAGCAGTGCTAAATGGCAATGATACTGGGAGGCTACATCTAGGAATCTTTTCCCTTTAGGGAGAATTAGGTCAGCTTTATTAAATTCCTTCATCACGTTCAGGTAGAGGAACCGTTCAGTTAATCATCCCAGCTAACAATAATGAGCTTATATTCTGAACCACAGTGAACTGTGAGAATGGATAAAAATGTTTGGAAAGGGTAGCACTCAGAAAAACCATCCTCATAGTGCCAAGCAATAGAGAAAACCATTAAAAGAAAGCAAGTCCAGCAAAAAGTAGTACTGTTTGACCTGAATAATTTGCTTTCAGAAAAGATAAAGTTGCCAAAAAGGCAAAGTCCAAGAACTCCACAAATGTGCTCTTCCAGAGGGCAGCAATCAGGAGCTCGCTACACACCCCCAGTTGTCCCCAGACTTCACAGCCCATCTAGAAAAGTCTGTGAATGAATCACAGCTAATCTTATCTACCACTGTCTTCTCCAACCCAGGCTCTGCCAGACAACAAAGGTGTAGGCCAGCCTCTGTTTGGGCTTCACTCTGCTTATGAGCTGCCTGTCACAGAGTCCAGACATTCACATCTGGCAATGGGGTACAGGAAAGGGCTCAAGTCAGGAGTGGGTTCACCACCTGGTCAATATAGGCCTGTGGACCTTAGGAATCACTTTAACGTCTTTAAACTTCTGTAAGATTGAGAAACATTCAGTAGGCCAGTGCTGAGGACCATTGTGAAAAAAAATCTATGAGATTACACAAGAGATGTAAAAAGAGAAGAACAATGAATTGTTATAAACTGAAATAGATGGATGAGGTACGCTAGAGACAACAGGATTGCTGGGATGGGTCCTGGACCAGAACAGAAACACTCTGGGGATACCTGGCAAATTTGAATGAGGTCTACAGACTGAATGTTTGTATCATAAATACCAATACGTTGTGACAATACTGATTTTCTAATTGAGCGGGATGTAGGTAATGAGTGTAGGACAGTGTCCTGGTTTTTGGAAGGTTTGAGTACTTAGAGAGAGCATCGGTTGACTAGCATTGCTGTAAAAGAAATACAAGTGGATGACTTTAAAGAATGGGAGTGTACTTTCTTATTTTGGAGTCTAAACATCCAACTCAACATATTGGCTCTAGAAGGAAGGTCATTTCTTTCAGTTTCTAGTAGAAGACCAGCAAACTTTGACCTTCCTGGGCTTGAAGATCTGACTACTTCTGTCCTCACATAGTACCTCGCCTGTCCTGAATATGCCTGTGTCTACATTTTCCTCTTTTAAAAGAAAACGCTTAGAATTCATTAGGTTCAGGACCCACCCTGCTCTAGTATGACCTCATTAATAATTAAATAAATATTGATTTAAAACAAAACAAAACAAAACCAAAAAACCCCATTTTATTTCCAAATAAGATTATAGTCATAGAGTTTAGGACTTCATAAAAACTTTTTAAAAAAGACACATTTTTAATCCATAATGTGAAAGCAAGGTTAGCAGAAAAAAAAAAAGACTGCAGAGAGTGAAGGTAGGGAAAAATCTTGTCCTTTTTTTTTTTAATAGTTGCCAGAGAGTCAATTCCCACATACATGTAAAATAAAAACAAGGGGGTAATCCAGGGAAAGGGGATTGTAAGAATTATTGGTACTGGCTTTTGAATTTTCCTGTTGGCTTGAAAGTATTTCAAATTATTTTTTAAATCTATATTAAAAACACCCACAAAGAGGTACAATTAGGGATTTCTGTGCTTATCACATTGGATTGCTCTGAGAGTCAAGTGATAAATAGATAATCACTTTTTAGCCTATCAAGAAGCACACAAATAAAAGTATCTTTTTATCTCAGCCAGGGAGCAGAGATTTTAATATAATAGCAAGTATTAGTAGGCCTTATTCCCTCTATAAAAAGGGAGTAATTCACTCACATTGGAGGCTGAGGGGATGAACTGCTGTTAAAAATCATCAAGTACCTTGACTCATAGCAACACTATGAACAACAGATCTGAGCCTTGCCTGATCCTGCGTCTTCCTCAAAATCTCTGAAATGCCAGAGCCCACTGTTACTGTCACTGTGTCAACCATGTCGGGAAAGGTGGCGGGCCAGAGAGAGAGAGACAAATTCTCACTAAGATGGATTGAGGGTATAGACACAAGCCAGGATATTACCACAGAATAAAGCAATTAATTAAAATGCTGTGGTGACCAAACTTAAGTAGACTCTCATTTAATTTACTAGGACAACAAAGATGAGTCTGATAACGTGTCACTGTTCCATTTATCAAATTATACTCATTGGGCCACGCATAAAAAAGAAAACAGGACAACTACTTTCAAATATAAAAACACTGATAAATCAGATTGTCAATTAAATGTAAATCTTCTACGTTTACCTCATTAGCTCTTTTGATTATTTTATCATCCACATCTGTGATTCCCATCACCATGACTATGTTACATCCAAAAACCTTGGTTAGGATTCTTCGAATTATATCAAATCTAACGTATGAACTGAAAGAAAAAAAAAGAAAGATATTGTGAACTTTTAAGAAGCACATTATATCTTAAGGTGTTGCTATATAACTAAAGCTGTATCATATTATTCAATAGAGCTACTAAAATGAAAAGTTTTTGGGGTTTTTTAAATTTTACCAAACAAAGTCCTTATAAGAAATTGACAAAGGCATTGCTTCAAAACCAAGACTCAATTTTGGGATTTTCATCTTATTTTAAGTGAATTTGTCACATTGTTGTTGTTGTTATTGTCATTATATACCGTTGAGTCAGAACTCATTCATAGTTGGTCCTCTATCAGGTTTTCAGATGTAAATCATATAGGAGGAGACTGCCATCTTTTCTTCATGGATCAGATGGTGGATTCGAACCACCTCCTTTGGGCTGACAGTGCAAAAACTCCTCACCACTTGGCTATCAGAATTCCCTATGTTGCTTTGTTGTTGCTGTTGTTGTTGTGTGCCGTGGAGTCAGATTTGACCCACAGCTGACCTTCTAGTGGATTTTTAAAGTAAATCAAATGGGAGGATATTGCTCATCCTTCTCCCATGGAGCAGCTGGTAGATTCAAACTACGTGCCTTTGGGACTGCAGCATGGCTTCTTACTGTTAGGCCACCTTACACCACACAGCCTCCTGACTCATGGGAACTCCAAGCACAGTGGAATAAACCACTGACCAGCCCTGCACCATTCCCATGATCAGTTAGTTGTGAAGAACACAACAGGGTTGAATGTGGTTTTCATGGGCTGATTTTTGCAAGTGGATTGCTAGGCCTTCCTTCCTATTTCACCTCAGACGCCCTGCTGAAACCTGGTGAGCACCACACAACACAAACCCCTCCACTAACAGGTGGGTCAAGACTCCCCATGAAGCATTTCAGGCAGGAAAAGAGGCAGGTTTCCCACATTGTAGGTAAGAATTTTACCACCAAACCATCACTGTCCCCTAGGTACATTTACATCTATCACGCATATAAGAGTGTACTCATAACACAATCTCATTGTTGTTATGTGCTGTCGAGTCACCTGTGATCTAGAGCTACCACATGTACAGCAGCTCTGAATCCTGCCATCCTGAGCCAGTCTCACTGACTCCGACACACTTAACCCCTATTGCCCCAGTCACTGTATCAATCCATCTCATCCAGGGTCTTCCTCTCCTGCGAGGTCCCTCCACCCTTCCAAGCATAATGTCCTTCTCCAAGGACCAGTCTCTACAATCTCATTAGGTAATTAAAATACTCAGAGCTCCTACTTAAACTTGTTCATGTTCTAGAATAATTGTAATTTTTCATTATGACAAAACAAATAGAGGCAAATAATAATAACTCAAGATAAGCACAATCCTATTAAAGCTGTGTAAGATTATACCTAAGAAATGTGTATACTATTATGGAATATTTAAAAGCCAACTTATTTATACACTACACAAGGTTAATGCAGAGTTTTAAAATGAAAGGGAGTACTTTTAAAATCCACTAAAAAATCTTAAGAACCTGATTTCCCATTAAAAATGACCTTAAAATGCAAAGTCAGCAAGCACCCTGCTCATCACCATTATCAGCCTCCTCTTAATGCAAGTTCATAAAAATCAGTCCCCTAAAAAACTATCTCAGTCACATTATGACATCATTATACTTCCCTTACTCACTCAATTGTTCCCCACAAACAGAGCTCTGCCTAACTTTCAAATCTAGTGATGAAATGATCTCCAAAAACTCACTGACAGGATCTTCAACCTCTTCAAACGAAAGTCTACTTAACCCACATGGCTGCTCTACAGGTTGAATGCAGTAACCCTAGGACTCATGACTTGTATGTTGGTGAGGAATATTTCCATCTGTCACACAGGAGCCTGGAGTTTGATGCTCCAACAGTGTTACCACCACCCACCAATTTGTCATACTATGGTGGCTTGCATGCTGCCATGATACTGGAAGCTGTGTCACCACTAGCATTTCAAACTTCAACAGTGTTACCCATGGTGGACAGATTTCATTGGTGTGTCCAGACTCAGACAGACTAGGAGTATGAGGAAAGGCCTGGTAAATTATTTATGAAATTAGCCAATCACAGTATTAATTATTATCATAATTTATTTAAGAAAATTAGCCAATCACAATATTTATTATTATTATAAGTTTCACCTCATACACTTTGGGAACGTGGTCAGGAGGGACAGGTCCTTGGAGAAAGACATCATGCTTGGAAGGTTGGAGGGATAGCGCAGGAGAGGAAGACCCCAGATGAGATGGACTGATACAGTAACTGGGGCAAAGGTAGTTGGTGTGTAGGAGTCAATGAGACTGGCTCAGGACTGGGCAGAGTTCTGAGCTGCTCTACATAACTGCTATGAGTTGTAGGCGACTCAACGGCACATAACAACAATATTTATGAAAATTAGCCAATCACAATATTAATTCTGTTATTTTATTGTCCTAGATTTCAATTTTCTTATTTTGGACACATCACCCCTATCTAGAAAGCCAACAAAAGTGAAGGAAATCCTCAAAAAGATGGGTGGACACACATCAATAGCTGCTACAATGGACTATATGTTTATGAACATGAACATGTAACAGAAATGGGTACATTCTGTTATACATGCACTTCCTGTGAGGCAAAGTCTAACAAGTAACATCACCAGTGCTTACAGTCTCTATTCGCAAAATCAGAAGCTATTTTTATTACCCTTATTGTCTGAAAACTCACTGGATGGTCAGCCATGACTTGGTTCCAACTCAACAAGTGGGGGATGAGGGAGTGAGGGAGTGATTACCTGCACTGGTCCTAAGTTGGATAAGACTTTCTAACAAAAGAGATTTAAAAAAAATGTTAACGGTAACTCAAATCAAAGTGAAAACAAGTCAAATCACATCATTAGCAAAGAAGAGCTCAAGCTGAAGTTACAAAAAAACAGCAGAGACGGGCTGGCCTGGCTGAACTTTTAGGGATACAGGCGACTTGAGACCCTAAGATAATAAAGGTGTGCTGCTACCATCGGGGTCATGCCCCATGCACACCTAAGCCCACAGGTGCTGAAGAGCCAGAGACAAGAACTTAAAGAATCTGGCATCAGGACCAGAGAGACCTCGGACTGCTTCTGCAGTTCTGCCATAAATGGTCTCTTTACTGCTAAAGATCTTAGCTATCTCAGTCAATAAAATAAAGAGGCACATCTAGATGATCACTAAGATTATTTCCAGCATTAAGGGATTCTGCTTAAAGCTCTTTAATGCTCCTACTACAAGGAAAAGTTCTGTTAGGCTAGGTGATAAAACATCCTTCTCTATCCGGTCTCAAACAACCCCCACTTTTCCCCACTCTTCTCTTATCTGAGTCAAGCTGTTCTACTATTTGTTTTCTTCCAATCAGCATGCACATCCCTCTCAGACCCTTTTGGTAAAATGGAGAACATTTTTTCAGGATCTTTCTCTATTTATAACTGAGTCCTATTCATCCTTCTAAGGAGTCTTAGGGGCACAATGGTTAATCACTTAGCGACTAATCAAAAGGTCTATGTTTCAAACCTACTAGTCCCTCTCTGGGAGAAAAGACTTGTTGATATACTCCTACAAAGACGGCACAGCCTAGAAAAAAGTAATGGGGTAGTTTACTCAGTCAAAACCAAGTGAATGGCACACAACAGCAATACCTATCCTTCAAAATTTAGCTCAGATTCTGCCCACAGGTAATTGGCATTATGCCAACATTTTCCCTCTTGGAGCAGAACTTGGAAAGGATGTGAAGCAACACTAAAAAGAGAGCAAAAGATGGGGCAGTGGGGAAGGGAAGTAAGTGAATCTTGCTAAAAACCTAAATGGATATTAGACAGATTGATAGCAAGGGGAGAGATCAAAGGTTAATTCTATATGATACTCAGAAAGCACAGCTTCCTCAATCTCATGTTGAGGCAGCAAAACACAGCGAGTAAGAACATGGCCTCGGGAGCCTGATGGGCTCATTCAGCACTACTAGAGTTGGCAAGTTCCCACAATCCCTCTGCACTGAGGCTCTCTCATTTGTAATTTCATGATAATAATAGTACCTACCATCTGGTGTTAAGAACGTTGATTGACATTTGTAACACATTTAGATTAATGCCTGGCACAATATAAGTGCTTTACATGTGTGTGCAAATATATGAATCTGTTGAACTACTTAAGGCCAGTGTGGCTAAATAGAGGGGAAAGTGGGGAAGTAAGAAAAGGTCACTAAGGGTCACACACACCCAAGAACCTCACTGCTGTCTGGTCAACTTCTCGTCATAGTGACTCTGTGTGAATCAGCTCCACATAAATATCATTGCTGCCAATATCAGATGGATCGTGGCCAAAAGAAAAGAGTACAAGAGGAATGTCTGTGTTTTATTGTCTATGCAAAGGTATCTGACTATAAGGATCACAACAAGTTGTGACTAATCTTGAGAAGAATGGAAATCCCAGAACACTTAATTGTGCTCAACCTATACTGGGACGAGGTAGCAGTCCTCAGAACATAGCAAGGAAACACCGCATGGTTCAAAGTCAGGAAAGGAGTATGTCAGGGACGCATCCTGACTCCATACCTTTTCAATCTATATGCAGAACAGATCATTCAGGAAGCAGGGCTTTATGAAGAGGAATATAGCATCAGGATTGGAGAAAGACTCATCAAAAACTTGCGTTATGCAGATAACATAACCTTGCTTGCTGAAACTGAGGAGGACCTGAAGTGATTACTGCAGAAAGTCAAGGACTGTAGTCTTCAATATGGACTGAAGCTCAGCATCAAGAAGACAAAGATTCTCACCACTGGGCCAACTGGCGGCACCATGATGAGTAGAGAAAAGACTGAGGTTGTTAACAGTTACAGCTTGCTCAACTCCACAATCAACACTCTTGGCACCAGCAAGCAGGAACTAAAGACAAATTGCACTGGGAAAATCTGCTGTCAGCGACCTCTCCAGAGTACTGTGGAGCAATGATGTCAATCTAGGGACTAAGGTGCACTTGAT